GGTTCTTTCAGTCTCTGTGGGTGGAGTCCAGGCATTTAGTCCTCGCTAAAGCACCCTCAGTGGTTCTGATTGTACCTAGAGGAGAACCTGGCCAGCACTGAGACACACACGACTTCCTTGTAAAGATTCCCATGAACTCAAAGCCCGTGCCCCTCTCAGCCCACCTCGCCTGCAGTGTACTGCTTTGAGATCCGGCTCTTTCGGGCTACCCATGTCCCTGGGAGTTCCTGGACACATCTAGACTTTAAGATAGGGTGACAAGCCTGCCTTGCTCTGCAGGTTTCACTGGAGGAGTGGATCCTTTCCGCTCTCTGTCACTCTGTCTCCATGTACACATGCCAAGACAGTGTCTCCCAGGCCACCCTAAGAGGCTTTTCCACGAGTGTACTATGGGTAGTATTTCTTTCTTAGCCTTGGATTGAGGTATCTGTGCCGTCTGCTTCACAAGCATTGATTCATGATGTGTACCAGGTTTTTATGCTTTCAGGGAGGTGTACTTTCCCATCCCGGTGGCAGAGAGCAGAGGAGGGCCTGAGTCAGGGGTACTGGAGGGCAGGGGCTGTTGGAACCACTGGTGATTTTTCAGGTACCATAACAATGGAGCTATGTGAGCCAAAGAGGCTTGTTGTTTCGAAATCTGATACCTCTTTGAGCAATTATGATCAGCAGTGGTCTGATTGGGACTTAAGTATCTACCATTAAGATTCTAATCTATGCACCAGAGGTATTTAATCTACGAAAACACAGGTATCTAAAAGAGAGACACACCAAGCTCCGTGCACTCTTAGTCTTGTTCAGACACAAGGATTACTGAAAGGGAGACATGGGGATGGATGGAATGGGGTGTACCAGCAGTCCTAGCACCGTGACCCCCACATCACCCTCTTTGCTTTAGACTCAGCTTCTTCATAAGTAAATTGGGGATTACAATACCTACCTCAAAGGCCTGTGGTGAGGGATTAAATCAGATAATGCATGTGAAAGTTCCTTTGTGAGCCTCCAAAGCACAGCATAATTATTAGCTGTGACTATCCATTTGAGAAACTGGCTTTCGTAATGAGCAGCCCAATTACCCCATGGGATGTGCTTCTGTGGGGGCCAGCCTGGGGCTGCAGTGGCCTCTGGGATGCCTGGGGTGGGTAGGCAGCCTACTCAAGAGGGAAGGTCTTACCCTTGTCTGTCTATCCTTTCTTCTCTGTCCCACTGTTGAGCTCAGGAAAGTTGTAGGAGGTGTGTGTGTGTGTGTGTGTGTGTGTGTGTGTGTGTGTGTGTGTGTGTGTGTGTGTATGTGTGTGTGTGGTGCGGTGCATGGGAAGAACCTGGCTTCAGAACCTGCTGGTGAGGTTGGATGTGGGGAAAAGAACAGCTCCAAGTAGAGGGAAAGCACTTTCCTATAAGCCCCTGGAAAGTTCCATGGAAGGAGTTCTTCATATTCTTAGGTAGTGCTCTGTTCCCTGCTTGGTGTCACGAAGGTTCAGTAATTGACTAAATTTGACTCAGGCTTCTGAGCCTTCCCTTAGGCCCACCTGTAGCTGTGTGTATGGAGATCCATGCCAGGTCTGTCAGAGCTCCAGGACCTGATATAGATGGGCCTGAAGTCTGCAGAGGGGTTCTGGAAGCATTTAGTGGTGGAGAACCCAAATCCACCCTCACTTTTGACTACCCACTGTCTTCATGAAACCCACCCGGGAGAGCAGCCTCAGATTCCGTCACAGTGGGGATGGGGGTTGAGTGTCCCAGGTCCCCTGGCTCTTCCCCACCCCCCTTTGGTTTTTCCAGACAGGGTTTCTCTATATTGTTTTGGAGCCTGTCCTGGAACTCATTCTGTTGACCAGACTGGCCTCGAACTCACAAAGATCCGCCTGCCTTTGCCTCTGGAGTGCTGGGATTAAGGCATGTGCCACCAACGCCCAGCCCTGGCTCTGTTATTTTAACAACTCTAAAAGTCCTGTAGCCCGAGGAGTGTCCTATGAGGCATGTCTGGAGACAGGGGTTTCCTCAGTCAGAATCCCCTAATGCTCTAGCAGACTAGCAGGGGTTTAGGCACAGGAAGTGTCCATAACTCAGGGACTTTGTAACACACCCACGATTCCTTTTTACTACTCCTGCTGCGTGGCTTCCTACTCACAAATGAAAATTGGGACATTTTGTTCAGTTACCACCAGGCCCTCCTTAGGGATGTTGTAGAGTCAGGCAGACTGACAGCAGATCCTTGTATCCATTGCTGTCTGTGGGTAGAGCTGGCTGAGTGACCAGAGCTCTGTGTGCAGATATTCTGCTCTGCAGGATCCTGGCAGAAGGTGATGGGCCAGTGAGGCACCAGTCTAGGTACCAAGGTCAGCTTCCCAGTTTCCTAAACACCAATATGAGCAGGACATCATCCTTGTTGTCAGTGTTCAGCTGAGGAAGCTGTCGCATAGATGGGCAAGTCACCATCCAGGGTTACGCACACTTTAATACACCATGGTCTTGAGAGCTACACCAGGGCCGGACTTCAAAGACTATGTCAAGTCAGAGTGAATCTCTGAAGACAGACGTCACCCTAGGTCCTCCCATTCCCAGTGGCTCTGCTCAGTGTGTGTGTGTGTGTGTGTGTGTGTGTGTGTGTGTGTGTTTGGGGGGGGTTCCCCGACTCCGATTGCCTCTCAGCAGGACCATCTTGCTTTCATTTTGAGTCTGATTTCTTATAAGCCTTCCAGGCACAGACAGCTCAGCACAAAGAAACCTGGCCCGTGTGTGTGCTGACCTGCTTTTTAGAGACAGGCTAAGTAAGTTGAGAGCTGGCACTCTTTAATCCTTGATTACCTTAGCCTGATGGCACTGCTACTGCTACCCTGTACTAAGTGGGCAAAGTGGGTTAATCTGGCTTTAGCACCCAGCGGGGCTGTGCGGTGCTTCCTCTAGGCCAGGTGAAGTGTGCTGGTGTGGAACTCCCAGTGGGCTTGTCCTAGAAGGAGGAGCAGCAGCGCTCTCCAGCAAACCAAAAGCTTTTCTGCCTTATGTAATGAAGTTTGTGCCGTCATTTCTAAAAATGTGCTCTGATTACTGCTGGAGGCCGTATGATGGCTTGAAGTTAGACATTTAGAATGTTCTATTGAGAAGGAAAAGTTTTTAAAAAATGATATGAAAATTGTCTCTTTTTTTTCATCCTTGTGCACAGGCGAAAACAAATTAGAATCTCTACCCCACATCTAATAGTAGACTTTAGATCTGTGACCAAATCTAGTGTCTAGTTAATTAACATTCCTCCTTTGATATAGCTACACTGGCAGGAATCATGCATGGGGACAATAAATGTTGGGGTAGAGTGATCTTATCAGACATGCACCAGACACGGTGAGCATGTCATGTATGCTCTAAGCATGTTGATTACTATTTTTGACCTCATTAGCCCCCCATGAGCTAGCTACTGCTATTTTCATTTTCACAGAGGAAGAGAAGAGGTCCTCCAAATTAAGATGGTCAAGGTAACAAGCAGCAAAGCCAGGATCTGAACCTAGACCTGACCTCTAGACCCACAGCCTTCAAGCCTTAAGCTAAACCACTGTGGCTCTGAAAGCCTCCTTTAATTCTCTTGACAACTCAGCAGGTAGATGGCATTATTCCTGTTTTGCACATTAGGGTACCAACGCTCAGAGATGTTAAATAAGTCATTTCCTGGCTGTGAAGCAGTAGAGAGGAGTTCCCAGTCCAGCTCACTCACACTGGGAAACAAAGCTCAGATGTTTGCCTTTAATAAGCTGGAGCTTACCAATCAACAAGACCACTTACCCATCACTGTTTATTTAGTGGGTACCTGTGGTGACTCTGTGTACCATGTTAAACGCTAGGGATTGATCAATGTGTGTGTGTGGGGGGGGGGGGCGTGTGCATGCTCGCTTGCTCAAAGGTGCTGGGGGGCGTGGCCTCTGCCATCATGGAGCCTTTTCAGAATTGTCTGGACATCTGGACATCTCATCATAGGACGATGTGTCACTCAGCGCCTCTCTTTCTCTATGTCCTTCAGTTTGCCACCGGCAAAGGTGTTGCCATAGGCATGTCTGCTGGTCATGGTCTCATTCTTGCCTGTCACCCTCCTTACCCAGAGTTCCTGGTTCTTTCTCTCCCCTTTGCTTGTCTTTGACAGCTGCTGTTTTGCTTCCTTTATCTTTTTCGTCTAATCTACTGAAAACGTTCTCAAGTAGACTGGCAGGATCCAGACTCCTCAATCCTAGATCCAGGCCTTGGCCCCACCCACCCCCCAGTTTCAGAGCAGTCATGGCATGGCCACATGGCAGAGTCTATAGAATAACACAAGCTACTACAAATGGCTGCCAGTTCATCCGCCTTATGTTTTCACGTCTTGTAACCAAGGTGCTACATACATCCCTGATTTATGTCGTCAAAATGGTTATCATTTGCCACTGCAAAAACTCAGTCCAGATACCATGACCCTGTGTTGACTGTGCTTATCTAGTGCTTCTGCTGAAATTAATACTCTGGTAGATATCTTGTAACTATTATGCCCTACTAGAATCTAAGCTTTTTTTTTTTTTTGAAGCTTCTCTAATTGTGTCTTGAGATTTTCATGTGGTATGTTTCTTGTCAGTTTATACTGATTTCATTGAGTTTTTGGATAAGCCTGCTTGGTTGATTTTGGCCATTTTGTCAAGTTACATTTCTGGGCTTGGTGGGCATGTGAAGGACTGATCAGGTGTGTGTGGGGTGGGGCATTGTGAAAACCGGATACTTTGAGTTAACTTAAGGAGAGGCAACATCCACACCAGCACCTTGTTCTTCTGTCTAGAAGGAAGATGATTTAGCTTCAGCTGGGAGCTCTCAGACCTTCAAGCCTGGGGTTGGAGTCGCATTAATGCACCCCACTTCTAAAATCCCGTTTTCACTTTTGTTTTGAAAAACGGCCTCAGTTATAAGAGGGAGCCGGGATTAGATGTGATACTGGGGGGGGGGCTAAAGAAATTCCATTTTCTGACCCCAGATTGTTTCTTTGCCTCCTGCAGGGACCTGATGCCAAGAACCCTGGAAGGCCAGATCACCATGGAGAAGACGCCCAGCTACTTCGTGACCAGGGAGGCACCCGCGCGCATCTCAGCCATGTCCAAGGACACCAAGCTCATCGTGGTGGTGCGAGACCCGGTGACCAGGGCCATCTCGGACTACACGCAGACGCTGTCCAAGCGGCCGGACATCCCCAGCTTCGAGAGCCTGACGTTCCGCAACCGCAGCGCGGGCCTTATCGACACGTCCTGGAGCGCCATCCAGATCGGCCTGTATGCCAAGCACCTGGAGCCCTGGCTGCGCCACTTCCCGCTGGGCCAGATGCTCTTCGTGAGCGGGGAGCGGCTGGTCAGCGACCCAGCGGGTGAACTGCGCCGTGTGCAGGATTTCCTGGGCCTCAAGCGCATCATCACTGACAAGCACTTCTACTTCAACCAGACCAAGGGCTTCCCGTGCCTCAAGAAGGCAGAGGGCAGTGGCAAGCCGCACTGCCTGGGCAAGACCAAGGGTCGTGCGCACCCTGTCATTGCGCGGGAGGTACTGAGGCAGCTGCGTGACTTTTACCGGCCCTTCAACCGCAAGTTCTACCAGATGACCGGCCGCGACTTTGGCTGGGACTGAATCTTCCCTTGGGGCTTATCTATTGAGAAAGAGTATATGTATGTAAAATGTACAGAAATCTATTTTATAATAATTTATTTTTAATTCACAAGCAATTAATTCACTAAGCTGCCTAGCCACACTCTGCAGAGAGTTCGAGTCACGGTCTGTTAACATTCCAAAGTGTTTAACTCCGATATTTTGTTCTGTCCCTCACAATTGATGGTGCTTCCGTGTTTTCCTTCCCTCCCCATTGTATTTAAGAAGAAGAAAAGCACAACTTGAGATTTTCGTTACGGGTATTCAGCCTTCAATCACCTTGAGTTCTCCACCTGCTATCTCCGTGGGTCTTGGCTGCCTCAGCTGATTGTATTGTTTTCTTGCCTGGGCACCTTCTGGAAGCACTGAGCTGCCTCAGCATGCTGTAGCCTGAAGTGTGGTGATGAGTGTGTAGTGACATTGTGTCACATTCACATTAGCAGTTCATCACCCTCTCTGATGTAGCACCAAGGTGAGTTTCTCTCACCTCCCTTACAGGGACCCATGCCCTTATGACCCTGTCTGCTCTATCCCTCTGTTCATTTTAACCAGCTGGAAATGTGTGAAAACAATGGACCCCTTTCCCGGATCCTACCAGTGAGATGCTGCTTTACAAAAAAAGGTGATATCTCATTTGTATAAGAGTGTACCACACCTTGTTCCTTTCTTCAGTCAGTCAGTCAAACAGTGACACACCAAAGAGTCTCCCAGGCTTCCATCCAGAGCCACCGGCACAAACCTAGGGTGCTGGATGTTGAGATCACATCAGCATTTATAGAGGTGTCGCTACATGTAGACCCAACTGTTGCTGGACAGTAGGCTCACGGCCTCAGTAGAGAGAAAAAAACAAAACACGCAGATATGACAAGCAGCCTGCCAGAAGAGGGGAATGTGAAGCCAGATACCTCTCTCATACCTAGGCCATCCCAGAGATGCTTTGTAGGCAATGACCACAGCAGGGTCTGAAGGATGGTCCTAGAGGGCCCAGGCTAGGAAAGATGGCTCCATGTTACTTGTAGGTACTCAAGTCTGAAGGGTGCAGCTTCCCCCTGAAGACAGTGGGGTCTTATCGGGAAGGTTGCCAGTTCTGCTACTAATGTGCAGATGATTCCCTCTGTTGGCAGGATCCTTGTGGGGGGAGGGGTCCTTTGGCTGGTTAGTGGCGGTTATGTAACTGTGTAGTGACATTGCATCATGATTGTTCAGTTAATCCTCAACTTCCTGAACCAGAATGCTTCTACCCCAAAAGGAATGTTACCTGAGCTAGACTTCCATCACAAATGCTTAGGTGGTTGAAATGACTGCACTATGATATTTCAAAAGATTATTTTGGACACTTTATGGGCTAACTTGATTGGAAGAGTAAAATTACATGGAAAGTACGTCTATACCTTTACAAACTACGGAGAGGTTGTCCATGGTCTATAAGGATATTTTGGTAACCAAACTTGTGATTTTTCTATAAGTTATAGCCCAGCTTGAATTAGCTTATTCTGGGCAACAAAATAGTCCCTGGGCAGTTTAGGGGAGGAAGAAGGTGGTCATTGGCTGTGTTTATTCCTTAGATGTTACACCCATTTCTTTTTCTTCTGCAGAGCTGGGGGTAGAATCCTGGGCCTGTTGCATACTAGGCAAACACTGAACCACATCCCCAGCACATTTCATGGTCATTTGCTCATTCTCTTCTGTCTATACAGTAGTGTATCGCCTGCCTTTGCTTGAGTGTGGAAGGCCTGTGTGAAAGGCGCTCACCACACCTTCCCTCACATACAGCAGAGTCTTGCTCACAAGGAGAGGCCATGTCAGAGGCCTTCATTAAGGTTTTCTGGCTGCTTTCAGAGTCTGATGTAACCCATGAAAGAGAAGTGCAGAGAGTTCGGAGAACCGTACCCAGCCAAGTGGGAGGAAAACGTGTGAGCCTTCCTGCCCTCTCCCCAAGCTGGACACTTTTTTTTTTAAAACTAAGCTGTTTACACCTTGCTTTAGATTATAACAAAGACAGGACACGCTGAGATAGGAGGGTCATTTAATGGAACACTGAAGTGAGTCGAGATGCTGTTTCAGTTAAGGCCTCGAATCTAAGCAGATGTCGATAATTAGTACTGATGGAGCAGGGTGAGGTTTTTCAATGTTAGTCAAATAAATCAAACAGCCTGTGTGCCTCTTCTTCGGCCCCCGATTGCTTACAGTTCCTAACTGATCCGGATGCTGCATCTGCCCAGGCTGCTGCTTCATCATGTGAAAGTTATTAGTGACCCACGTGGCCTCTTCTTGCAGAAGTGAGGCAACATGGAAAATTAAGCCATGGTCTCTTCCTGTCCTGGCCGTCTGCAGGGCCCCTGAGCTTCACTCCTGAGCTGCTGGGCGGCACCAGTTCCTCTTGGCAGTTTGTCCCACCACATGTCTGAGCTTTCTTCCAGTTTACAGGAAAGCTCTGACATATTCCTGGTGTACTTTCTTTCTCAAAAGTTTTGTTTCTTTCCTTGTTTGAAAACAACAACACACACACACACACAAAGTCCACAAAAGTTTTGAGATTTTGTTATTGCCATCATTATTATTATTCCTATCCATGGAAAGCCTTCTTTGGGGACATTTGCAAGAAGGTGTGTTCACTTACTCTGTAGTACCCACAAAGGTATTTCAGGCAGAATGACTACGGAATAAACTCTTCATTGGATGGTGGGGGAGGGGGCTCTTTGGGAGTCATTTTGAGTGACAGGTTGATGCACTTCAGTCCATGGGGGAAGTTCAGTTGCAGATCCTGCCTGGCTGTTTTCCAAAGAGAGGAAAACAGAAGGCTCCAAAACCACATCAGTGAGCATCTGAAGTGTTGATGCAGACGTCAGTGTCATTTCCCTTTTCGGTTTTCCAGAAAGAATGGTTAATGAGTTTTGAAGGTGTGGTTAGTTTCTTTTTCATTTTTATAACATTAATTTATGACTGAGTTTCATTCAGCCCAGTAATCAAACATGCTGTGCAAGTTGTAGCAGTTTGTCTTCTATAATGTGGATGGTAGAATAGCCAATATGTACAAAGAATTAAAGCAAGTATTTTGTTCTATGTATAACACAAATTAATTTTACACAGAGAAAGATGTTTCTAGGCAAATGAAATTCTGGTAATTCATACTTTTCCTTTGTATGAACAAATAAAATATATTTTACCAACATGTGGGTATGTTCCTCATTTGCTATGTGTGACAACTGGGAGAAGACAGTGATATTTTTCAATAATGTCATGTGCAGATGGCCATGCTTGCAACGCACAAAGTCATTCTGAGGCAGAAGGATAGATTTTTCAGGCTCTTTGTTGTTTACGTTTTTGAGAGAGTCTCACACTATAGCCTAGGTTGGCTTCAAACTCAGCAATCCTGCCTCAGCCTCCTGAATACTGGAATTATAGATGGGGTTGATTTGTCAGCCTAATCTGTTATTACATTAAAATAATTCTGTGTGTGTGTGTGTGTGTGTGTGTGTGTGTGTGTGTGTGTGTTTTGCAAGATCTGGTTCTTTCCTATCACGTAGTCCTAGGGCTTGAACTCTGGTCATCAGAATTGGTAGCAAGCACCTTTGCCTACTGAGGTATCTTACCAGCCTGGTTTTTCAGATTTTAAAGGTGAAAAAAGCAAACGCCAGTTGCCCCGTAAATATTTTTGCTGGATTTTTTGGTGAATGGCTGTTATAGTGAGACAGAGTGTTAGAGCCCTGTGCTCTGGGGGAAGTTTCCGCCACCCCACCTTATATCGTCCATTACTCAGGATTCTAACAGCTACTGAAGCCACCATGTCAAGGGCTTCCAGAGTCACAGTGGGTAGGACATATGAGCAGCCACCTGTCCTATAAAGGTCTGGTGTGAGCATGCACCCATACTGGGTGAATTTAAATAACAGTGTTCCTTTTTCACACTTCTGTGAGGTAAAGACAGAGCTTGAGCAAGTCAACCTAGATCTTCAATTTTTCCCAAACCACTTTATTTTCTTTTTGAGATAGCATAACATCTACATGATTATAGATTTTTTAATGTTAAAAAAAACCAACAACAACTGCAACAAAACTTGAGTGATTCTTATGGTACTAAATTTAAAAAACGAAAACCTGTTTTATTTGTCTCAGATACAGAAGTTTGCATGTTTCACAAATATTGCTTCAGAATAACATCTGTATGTATGGAACTTCTGTCCAATAATGTGTAAACACAAAAGTGTATCACTGGGTAACATCTGTATGCACAGGGCCTTCTGTCCAATAGTGTGTAAACACAAAAGTGTATCACAGGGCAACACCTGTATATAAGGAGCATTCTGCCCAATAGTGTGTAAACACAAATGTTTATCGTAAGGTAACATCAGTATGTACAGGGTTTTCTGTCCAACAGCATATAAACACAAACGTGTATCCCAGGTGCAAATGTCAGCTCATCAAGTGATCCACTTTGCATACACTCACCACATAAACAAAATGACTGATCAAACCAGAGCTGCTTTGTCACGGTGATTTTCTATAGATGGATAGTGCTTATCAGAAAAAACTTAGACAGTGCACATCTATCCTAGTGGTATTAGTATTGTTTGCAAACAACAGATTCAGGGGCTCCAACTTAGGGGCTAATTCACTTTGACCCAGGAATTGAGAGAGGGGACTACCAACAGGCTTTAGAGTAGAGAAGAACTCTCAGAACATGGGGAGCCATCCCTGCTTCCTTAAGAAGGCCAGAGTGAAACCAGCGTACTTCTTTCACAAAACCTAAATGATAAACCAGTAATGACCACTTGAAAATCAGGGTTGTTTAGTTTCTGCTTTCATCTTTGAACAAGACATAAAATTGACTGCCTTCAAAGTCATTGCTTCCCTAACTGCAAAACACTATACTCAAGTGTAGTTTCATAAAACAAAACCTTAATTTTAAAAACTATTATATTTGCTTGTGTGTGTGTGTGTGTGTGTGTGTGTGTGTGTGTGTGTGTGCTCAGAGAACAACTTGAAGTAATTCTCCCCTTTACCTCATGGGACTTAAATATAGAACTCGGGTCATCTGACTCAGTTTCAAAAGGAATATTACAATTTTAAGTGGAAGTCCATGAGTACTAGCCATATGAAAAGTTGGTAGCCACCCAGGCATGATGGAGTACTATCAATTCCAATCCTCGGGTGCTGAGGTAGAACTGTGCATTTGAAGTCAGCATGAACCCCACAAACAATGCCTGCTCCCCAAGGATGTAATAAAGCATTTGAGAATAAATAGTACTTACTAATGCACAGGCAGTGTAGCAAAAGCCCCACTGGTCTTGGTTGGGTTCACTACTCTTGGCAGCGGTACTGCTGGCAAGATGAACACTTGATGGAACTCAGGATCTTGCCTGAAGACCATAAGATTATTGGAGAAATTGCCAGCTCAGTGTTGTTTGGTGTTGAACCCAGATACACATTTTTGAGCTTGGATAATAGACAACCTGACCTTAATTCTAAAGTTCAAACAGACCCCAAATCATTTGTATACTCAGCTCTCCAACATTGGAAAGCACTGACTCTCATAAAGAGCACCCCCTGGGTAGTCACAGAGACAGGAATTAGAAAGTTTTCTGGGGAAGATGGAGAGAAAAGAAGAAGCAAGCTGGTCAGCCACAGTTCACGTTTACGGAGACTAGCTCCTTCACATAGGAATACACCATGAGGTGACCTGTGCCATGTTGTGACTCAGCATCCCATCCCATGAGTTTATACAGAGAGGCAATGAGGCAGGTGGACAGTCTATCTACTCATGGACCTGACAGTGCATGCTAGAACAGAAGCTTTTGAATTTGGGCAATAGACAACCTAGCCTCAATTCTAAAGTTCAAACAGACCCCAGATCATTTTACATTTAGCATCTTTAAGAGCTGAGACTCTAAATAGGTAGTCAGGTGATGTACCTCTAGTCTAAAAATCTAAATTCCAAAATGCTTCAGAAAACAAAACCTTTCCGGCACCAACATGATGTCCCATGTAAGTGATTCCAGGTATGCCCTCATGACTGGTCACCATCAAAACCCAAGTACAGGGAGTGAGTGTTATTTATCTTCAGGCTGTGCACATGAGGTCTATATGGAACACAAGAGACTACCTTTGTTTAAATCTGTGTTTTACTCCCTAGATAGTCCACTATTCAGGAGCAAATACTCCCAAATATGAAAAACTCCAAATATTTTGGATAAAGACGCTCAGTCTGTACTTAAAGTGTCTTCATGACCCTAATGGCCACAGCCAAGAGTCACCTGTACATAGTTGTCCTCAAAGTGTGGTTCCCTGATGACATCAGCACATCAGGGAAACATGGCAGGCATGTCCTCAGAGCGCCTGAATCCTAACTAAAAAAATATGTTTCAGCAACCTCCCAAGCATGCCATTAAATAGTCGATGAAAACTGACTTAAGGGAGGAAGGGTTCACCTTGATGCACACTTTAGGGAGGGATGAGCCCACCACAGAAGGACTGTGAAGTCAGTCGGGAGCACAGAGGCAGTTATTTCACTGAGCTACCAAGAAGCAGACGGGCAGTGGGTTGTTTACAAACCCTCAAAGCCCTATCCCAGTGACCCATTTCCTCCAGCAAGGCTCCACAAAGGTCCCTCAGCCTTCTGAAACAGTGCCGCCCAGCTGGGGACCACGGGTTCAAACACATGCCGCTGTGGGGGAATGCCCATCCTCAAACCACAGGGTGACACAGAAGTTTAAGAACCCCAGTGCTTGAACACAGACATCATATCATGCTAAAAATAGAAAGTTGCAATTTTTAAATCAAGTATGTTTTCCTCTGTTACGTGCTTTACATCAAAAAGTGTGTGCGGGGGTGAGCTATGAGGTCACCCCTTGTAAGATGGACCTCCTTTAAGGAGAATCCCCACACTGTTGGCTGGTAGCCTTCCGATGGTACCCAGTACACGGCTAAAGCTGTCTGTATGATGTGTGCCTAGAACTGGGCGAAAGTGGAGTCATGACCTAGGCAGTTCTCAGAAGAGATTTTGCTTTTCCTTGCTTTGCAGAGTCAGACTTCATCAGTACATCCGGTATTTTGTGGATAATCGATAACTTATCATTATCACATCCTATCCCTTGCAACTGAACGTTACTGATTGGCTATTTGAGGTGACAGAATCCCTGGTCCTCTGGCCTTCTTCCAGGATAATATGCTTCTCTATTTGCAATCCCCATCATTGGCATTTAGTTTAACTCACTCATTATCTTTATGTGCACAGATGACAAAGTACCTACACAACTACACAAAGTCAACTGTAGACATATCTACAGCTTTGTTCCCAACCTTCCCCAGCTGAGGACTTGGAATGTTTTCATTCCCATCTGATACTTGTGTGTGTGTGTGTGTGTGTGTGTGTGTGTGTGTGTGAGTGAGTGATCTGAAAGTGGCTGAAAGTCCTCCATGGGTTAGGATTTTTCAGAAAAGCAACAGCAAGGAATTGAGACTATTCTCTCAAACCTGCTTTTATCCCTTTAAAATATTCCCTTTCTCCACTCCTACCCCTTCCAGCTTCCTCCTTAGCGTCTCCTTTGCTGTGGAGACACCATTCATAATTTATCCCCAAGATTCTGACATTGGAGCATCTAGGGCTTGCCTGATTCTCATGTGGTGTGGTCTCTAAGAGCAAAGAGGGGCTGCAGCCTCCTTTAGAGCAAGAAACAGCTAGAAGTTCCTAGAGACTCATAAAAGGAGGTCCCAGGTGAGAGGAGAACATGGAGGAGATGGTTTCCCCATTAACTGGAGCAAGAGTAGGTCAGAGTCAAGTTGGTCCACTCATGGCCTGCTATGCTATGCTAGGGATGCACATCCTGTCTTAAGGAATTTACTCCCCATGGTGAAGTGGCAGGGCCCATAAACTGTGTCCCTGGAGTGCCTTGTGACTAGGAGGAAACAGGGTATTGCCAAATATTTATCATGTTCTCCAGGAAGCAACATTGAATAAATATATTTCTTTGATTGGATCAGAAGATCACAAAGGCTAAGTTTTACTTCAGGCCATTGGAGAGGGAAATTGGCAGTGTGTCTCAGTCTATGAAGCCACAAACTTCAGAAATGGGGCGGTGGAAGGACCAACTCTGCCTTCTTTAGTCCAAGGCTAAAAGTCCAACAGACCCTGGAGGGACACTGATACAAGTTCCAGAGGCCAAAGGACCAGG